TTTGGAGGAGGTGTCGGCTCCTGGGCTGGTGGAGCAGGCCACTTCTTGCCACACTGGCAGTGCGTGTAGCCCTCTGAGCCCCAAAACATCAAATCCCCAAGCCATTTTAGGGTTTAGGCTTTAGGGCACTTTAAGGTTTGGGCGCGTTGAAACACTTCTAGTCACCCGGGTAGAGCCCATATAAGAATCCATGCAGAGGCAACGTCAAGGGTTCGACCTTCCCATGCTACGCTTGCGCCAGGGGGCGATGGTGCTGGAGTCCAGGCCATTCTCATCATGCAAGCGGTACAGGTCCTCTCACGGTGCTTCGCAACTACATCTGCAGAGATTGCGGCCTTGGTATCAAAGCAGGAGGTCCTAACTCCTGCGCCCGAAGCCCTCAACCTTAAACTCTGAGGTGTCTACGCTGAACCTCAGATCAGGGCTGGAAGGCGGTAACAACCAGGATATCTCCAGACTCAGGTGCTTCGAACCCGGCTAATAACCCGGTACAGGTGCAGGATCATGGGATGTGCAAGAGTAATTACAACTACAGCGGGGCAAAGCTGACCCTAAACCCGAACCCAGAGAGCCCAATACTCCTTAATTAAGGAATATAGCTTAAATCATAATATGAATCCCCTTATAATTTAAGGTATATTCCTTAATCAAGGGGTATTGGGCTCTCTGGGAAACCCGAAGCCTCAACCAACGAGAATAAGGGAATACGGATTCTCAGTACTCAAACCCGCAATGATAACTTCTTATAACTTCCTGGGCACGCCCGGGTCTTCCGGCGTTAGCTGCTGGTCTGGTGCTTAGAGTTTAGGGATATGCTTCCAGGGCTTATGCCAGAATACTTTGTGACGTTTGCGGCCACTTTGCGATGCTTAGTCATCACGGACAACATGGTCTACTCATCACGGGCAAAAAAACCCGAAGCTCTTGAAACCCTAAACGCGGAACCCCCAAAGACTTAAAACTCCGACACTCCTACACCCTATACCCTGCATCCCTCTAACCCTAAACCCAGAAGCCCTGCTAAGCCGTAAAATTCCTAAAACACCTTAAAACCCCAAACAAGACGCCTTAGACCTTAAATCCTGAAACCCCCAAAATCCCAAAATGCCCCTGGGCCCTAGAACTCCCACAGCCCTACACTAGAAGCCCAAATGTTGGAAACCGTAATGCATAGGGAATCCCAGCACTATTTGTCCTTCATCCGGTTTCCAACTTTATGCGGCTTTACCTTATAGGATCCTAATATATGTTTGGTTAAACCAAAGAAAGGAACTACAATCCCTAGGGATCTAAGGACTCATATATTAAATCTTTTGGGCCCAAAGACCATGCTATATAAGGCTTTTGGGCTATTTTGATCCCCAGGGAATGGAGACTGTATATAGGTAGAACTCTTAGAGCTCTTAGTGAAGCACAGCTCCTGGTCATTCCACTCGATCGGGATGTCGGACACATAGACCTCGAGCCGATCCGGGAGTTTCCGAAAGTTAGGGGCTCCTTTAAAGGGATCTTTAAGGGTTCCTTCTAAGGGTTGCTGTAAGGGATCTATAGGGTTTAGGGTTTGGGAGTTTCGGAAAATTGAAGGAACTTTATTTTGGGTCGCTCATAATAAGGATCCTACTATTTAAAGTACTATACTAGGGTCCCCTGTTTTCGGAAACTTCCATTTACTCCTGCTGGGTTGAAAAAACGGATGGGTTGAGGGTTCAGGGTCTAGGGTTGAGGGTTTAGGGATAAGACAGGTGAAGGTTCGTGTAAGGGTCATATAAGGGTATAATACGGGTTCATATAAAGGCATGGTAAGGGTCTGAAAGAGGTATAATAAGGGTTCATATAGGGTTCAGACAAGGACATAATAGTAAGGGTGCATGTAAAGGTATAATAAGGCTTCACATCCGGGTAGAAAGCGGGTTCGCATAAGGGTCCGATGAGAAGGTCTAGGGTTTTAGGAGTTTTAGGGTCTAGAGTCTAGAGTTTAGGGTCTCGCGCTTCGGAGTTTATGAATTGTGGCTTAGTACCTCTCCGCCAGACTCAGAACATCCCCGAGACGCGCCGCTTGGATACTTCAGGGTTTTTAGGACAAAGCCTGGGGTTCAACGATTCCAAAGCCCAATGGCAAAGTCGTAAGGAGGCACACGGTGAGCAAAATGTGATGAAGCGCTGCCGACAGGCCGTAGGAAGCACCTTGACGTGACGGGTGTGGCTGGCACGCAGCTCCACCTGAAGACTTGCATGTTTCACCGGGCGCATATGCATTAGCAAGGGGTCCAAAATTCTGCGCTCCCAGCTGAACCCTTAGTTCGTAGCCTTCATACTCAGAATCGGGTTTGGATGTATTTATAGTACAGACATACTAAGTGGAACCTTAAGGAACTATGTTTGTAACTGTTGAAGCTTATCATACTCCAGGGCCACACAACATGAATGTTACAACATCATTTACCAGATTGGCAACGTATGTCGTGTGAGGTTTACGGTCAGGTTTAGGAGTTTAGGGTTTGGGGGTTTAGGGTTTAGAGTTTCGGGCTGGGGCCCAGTAACCCTCACTCCAAAACTTCCTAGCTGATACAAACCATGCAAAGCGAAGATCAAAAAGAGTTGGAAGTTCGTGCAAACACTCTCGTAGTAGCCTGCTTCATACTTCGGCTGCACCTAAACCATCCAAGATTCGAGACTTTGACGTGCTCCACACCACATCCAATGCAAACACAAAGCTGTCAAGCCGCGCGCATGAGCACGCACTTCAACCAACTCCATTCAACTCCTAAACGCCGAACTTTCCGAAATTCTGCACTCCAGACTCAACTGCAGCCCACGACTCAGCAATAGTTCCTGAACAGGATCGACTCTAGGCTCGCTAGACTTTCGGCATAGGATCTTGGGTTTAGCACCCTGAAGCCCTGTCAGTTCCTAAACCCCAAACTCCACAACCGGACAGTCCCAAAATGCCGAGGTTGCCAACCTCCAGATGGAAAATCTGGTCAAAGCCGTCAGATACAGCGCGGCCTTGCGCCCAGGGCGCTTCTGATTCTTTTGATTACGGATTTTGCGGGGAAACTGAAAGTGTTTGTAGGGCTAGGAGAAGCACGAGGAGCAGCAGCAGGAAACTAACAAGTACTGTTAGAAACAGAACTCCCGCAACTAGTGCTGTTATCATGCGATCTGCTACTTCGACGACAAATGCATGAATGGAGGTCCAGGGGTTCCTCCACGGCGAAGCTGCTTTGCCGAAGGGGTAGGGTTCGTAGGACTCAAACGGTTTAGGGTTTAGGGTTTAGGGTTTCAGAGTCACATGTAAGCTGTGGGGCTCAGAGTGCCCGGAGGGGTGGAAGCTTTCAGCCTAGAGAGCTTGAAGGGCTTACGGCCCAGCGCTCACGACTACAGTAACTAGAGCGGAGATGTCAAAGGCGCCTTGGAGAAAATCCGCAGCATCCCGGGATGCCCTGGGAAGAGGAACTACGCTGTCTCGATACAAAGGAATCGAAGCCTGAAACACTTTTGCTTAAGCCCTCAGCTTTGAAGTTTGAAAGCTCGTGTGTTCACAACATCTCGAAGCTCTGTGGGACTCCGCATGCCTAAAACCTTCATTGAGTTGTTGATGGGACGGGTTCCAAGGTCCTTCTGTAGCTTCTTCAGGGATGATTTGGGAGTTTCCGAAAGTGAGGGGTACCTTATTTGGGGGTCCTTATAATAGGGATCCTACTACTTTAGGGCGCTACATTAGGGTCCCCTATTTTCGGAAACTCCCATAACTCCCACAAAGTACCCTTATAGAAACCCTATGGACACCCTTATGGATCCCAAAGGTCCCCCCCGATAGACTTGTGTAGGTAGGGAGGTGCGGAAGGCGGGAGGGAGCGGGTGAGGCCTCGACGCACTTGGGTTTTGGCGTGTTTTGATATGGATGGAGGTGCTTTAGGGTGTACCATACTTGGAGGCTCATGGATAGTTATGAATAGGGTTATGAGTCCCCTGATAGGGGTTATAACCATAGTTACCCTGATTATAACCCCACTTGTAACTACCCATAAACCTCCAAGTAACCCTGAACAACCTACCTTTTTCGGGTTCCTGATTATGATTTCCTTTTCTAAGCCCTTAAAAAGGTAGGTTCTTCCCGGTTGATGTAGGGTTTATGGCTTTGGGGGGCGAGGTTCAGCACTTAGAGGGGTCGCGGCTAAGGCTTACTCTGGACAGTTTCGGGTTTAGGGGGCAGGATCGGCAGCGGCAATACTAACTGGGGCTTAGGGTTTAGGGTTTTGACAACCATACACCTGCATGTGATTGCCAGAACAGTACGACAGATCGAGGAAATATGCTAGGACCTGCTAGGAGCCATTTTTTGACATAAGCAGACTTACGGCCTACAGAATACAGCAGACATAGCCGACTAGCTTATTTAAGAATATCGCAGGTATGTAATATATAATGTACTGTCGACTAAAAAACCATGTATACATACATGCATGCATACATGCATACACACATGCATACATTCATGCATGCATGCTGACATGCATACACGCATACATACATATGTACATACGTAAATATGCAGATATGTACACATGTACATATGTGCGCATGTACAAGTACTCACCTATTCAGTCATGTATTACCTTATTCACAGTACACTCATGCATACCCCAAAACCGAACCCCCATCATTCTACGCCCGTAAGTAGCCCCTCACCATCCTAAACCCGAAACCCTAAAGCCTAAACCGTGGACCCTAAACCCCTAAACCCCTAGAATCTAGAATCTCTAGAACTCCTAAAAGCCTCAACCCCAAACCCATGATGAAATGCCCTGAAAACCATGGAAAAACCCTGAAGCTCTTAAAACCTCCATTATAAAGCTAGACACCCTAAAGCCTAAAACCCCTGAAACCTTAACTTAAGTCCTGTACCCTAGAGTTAGAACTCCTAGCCTCTGAACCTCGGCACTCCTAAAAACCCTCGACCTTGAAACTTCGAAAATTCGGAACCCTATACCACATGTAGGAACCTGATTAAGAAATCCTGGCCCTGTAGCCCCCCAAATAATAAGATTCATAGAAGGAGCCCTAGTAGAGGCCCTAGTAAAGACCCGAGGTTTCTTAATCAGCTTCCTACACTATACCTTAAGACTCTCAACAACACACTACAGCCCACCAAACCCTAACACAAACTTCGACCAACCCGCAACCATGAAACTCCTAAACATCCCTAAGCCCCAAAACCTAACAAAAAAAACGGTTTAGGGTTTAGGGTTTAGGGTTTAAGCAAGCCAGAGCCGCTGCTCTTGGTCGAAGCGTAGGATGACGGAGGTGGTCTTCGGGATATCTCCGGAACTTGGCCTCGGCAAGCTGGCGGTGCCCCCTTGGGTTACTTCTACGGTTGATGATACAAATCCTGCATTACCCATAATAAGGAATATGCCATAGTTCCCATAGTTTAGGGTCCTTAAGGTAATGCAGGATTTATATCATCAACCGTAGGACCTATTTCGGTGTGGCGTTTAGGGTTTAGTTAGGGTTCTGAGGGTTACTAGGCTTTTGGGGTGCAGGGTTCAGGGTTTGGGTATTAGGGTGTTAGAAGTTGTAACGATTATGAGGGTGCCTTTTGAAGGTGTCCTTTCATGGTGCTCTATACGGGTATATAACATTGAAGGTTCCTTTAAGGGGTTCTATCGTGGTTCCTTTACTATGGGTTTATGGCTTATGTTGTGTATCAAGTAACCAAAAGACTGACAAGAAGGCTGAGCTTTGGGTTCCCTTGCGGCGTAGAGCTTCGGCAAGATGATGGCTGCCCCCCAGACTCTTCGGCTTACCTGATGCCTGACGTCTTAACTAAGACCCTTACTTAAACACCAAACGCCCACGTGGAACTTGTACGGCCCGTCTAGAACGCCCTAAACCCTAAACCCCCCTGAAGCCGAAGCCCTAGAAAGCCCCCGGAGATTGTCAGCTGTAAGGCTGCTCAGCTCAGCTAGGCATGGTCGCTAGGCAACTCACCTAAGAGCTTCACATGTCTGGCACGGATCCAATGGCTTGGGGTTTTGGGATAAAGTGTCTAGGGTTTAGGGCCAGGCACGGGGCTTAGGATTTCAAAGTTCGAGCCAGGCTTAGGGCTCAAGGTATGATGTTTCGAAGGTGCGAGCTTTGATGTGTAAGTCAATGACGAAGATGCCGGCGACAACGACTACTTCCTTGTAGACTTCCTCTGTTGCTGCGACGACGACGGTGACAACGCTTGCTTCGCGAAGTTGCGTCCACTGACAGTGCAGCGAGTATTCTCAACACGTTCTTACTTTCGCCAATTCCGACAGACCATCCCAATACCACAAGCCGGAACTTTGATTCCTATGACGAGACCTCCAATTTAGATCGGGCTGAAGTTGGTGTACCTGCATCCTCAGTCCTGAACCAAAAACTGAAACTTTAGAACATTCAATTTCGATTTCGAATTCAAAACCCTAGGCCCTTGAGTCTGTAAACGAAACCCCAGAGCTCGAACCCTTAACCTGCAGCCCAAAGCAACAAGCCCAAACCCACTTTTGCCAGGGGGCCGAGCAAGCTTCAACGACTGGTCCTTTGACAGGCCGTACCCATTCAGCAATTCCTGGGCAGGTTTACGTAGCTTCCTGGCCCCCAACCAAAACCCCTGAACCTTAAACCCCAATCCCAGACCCTAAACCCCAAACCCTAAACCCTAAACCCCAAACCCCTAAACCCTAAACCCTAAACCCCTAAACCCTAACCCTAAACCCTAATACATTATAATTCCGAGGGATTTAGGCTTGAGCTTCTTAGGGTCTCAGAATGTGCAGTCATCGCTGGAAGTTTCGAGGCTAGGCACGGGAAGTCGTGGGGATATGATAACTGACAAGATAATAAAACAATCGTAGAGTTTAGGGTTTAGGAGTTAGGGTTTAGGGTTTAGGGTTCAGAGTTTAGGGTTTAGGGTTTAGGGTTTAGGGTTTATGATAGTGTTTATACCACAATCAGGGTCATAGTGATAGTAGCAGTAATCGAAAAGTATGCATACATGTTATAACAATGCAATTCTAGTATAACAGAATCTGAAACCTGTCTCCACCTAGTCACTCGGATCATCGGCTCGTCGTAGCTCGCCGGGATGTTCTTCACCCTGCGACGAGAAACTGCCCTGCTTTTTGGGGGGAGAGGAGCCACGGTTTCAGGTTTGGGGTATGCTTTTAAGGTTTAGGGTTTTGTTTTACAGGTTTTGGGTGTTTGTTAAGGGTTTAGGGTTTTCTTTAAGGTTTAGGCTTTAGGGTGTTTTTAAGGGTTTAGGGTTTAGGGTTTGGAAAGTTTAGGAATAGTTCACTTGCTAGATTCTGCAAAAAAACTGCTATGAGTAGCAACTTAGACTTTAACATACCTCGCGGAACCCCTTTCCGACTAGAGAGATTCTCATGCTACTCCTAAGCTCGAACCCTGAAGGACAGGCGAGAGGAGAGCCTGGCTAACCAAAGGTCCGGCGGATGGCTCCAGCGTGGCCTGTGGCATTTTAGGGTTTAGGGTGTAGAGTTTGGGGTTTAGGGTTTAGGGTTTAAGGTTTAGGGTTTGGGGCTTAGGGTTTGGGTTTAGGGCTTAGGGTTTAGGGTGGCATGCCGCCCGCATCACTTGGCCTAAGATCTAAAAGGCTTCAGGGATGTTCAGGGTGTAAGATGTTGAGAGTCGGATACGGGGCTCAGGGGTTGGAGGTTCAGGGTTCTAGGGTTTTTTAGCTTCTGGGCCCGAGCCTACACGAGGCGAAGCCGTAGCCCAACTTAGTTGGGTACCGATCGGGCCATGACGCTTTCCCCAGGGGATAGCTGTTCTCAGCTGCTGGATTCCTTCGAGTGGCGCCGCTTGAGTCAGGTTTGCAGGGAGGTCTCGTTTCTTCCGGTTGGTGCCACAATCTACACGGTGGCCGAGCCGTATGGAGACCCAATGTTTGTACCTGACAAGGTCTTGGTACGAGCTAGAATCCAGCGGACAGGCGAGAATGGCACTGTGATGGGTGCTAAGGTGCTTTTGCAGCTCCGCCCGGCAGATTGGCAGCATACTAGGAGTTGCTCCGGCCCACTCAGGATTCTTCAGGAAACGGTGCGACAGCAGGGTCACGAGGTCATCTTGAATTGCACAGGTCTTGATTCGACTGTGGTTTCCACTGTTGCTTGGTGTTGTGGTGAGCTTCTCCAGGTTGCCGAGGTTTTCAGTGGAGGATTCGCTGGTTGGTCTCAGGCGTGCTACATACTGCACCAGCAAGGTGTGCCCTTGAACATGCGGTGGTCGATCGATGTTGATCCGGATTGCTGGACCATGCAGCAATGCAGCTGCCCTCATGCCCAGCAAGTCCCCACTAGCGGTCTGAAGCTTTTTGCGCTAAATGTTGCCGCTACCAGCATGCGGCGCCAAGCTTGCCACCTGGTGCTTCATGGTGCCTCTTCTGTTGCTGTTGATCTTTGGGTGGGTGTTACACTCCACCTGTTGGATGCACTCGGCTGGGTTACCCAGGTCTATTCCGAGATGCCAGTTCTCGCCCTGTGCGTTGACTCCACCCGGACGCATTTGCCGGGCGACCAGATACATGAGCGGTTGCGGCTTCGGCTCTTCGTCGCCAAACTTGAGCAGGCTGCCTTTGAGTGCCCCGCCGGCAAAGGTCGCAAGGTTGAGGTCCAAGTCGTTGCCCGCCAAATCTGGCTTGGGGAGCTGCCGGGCTCTCTTACTTTGCAAAAGGTATCGTCCTGGTGGACAGAGGCATCCCAGGCTTGCGCAATCCCTGCCGCGCACCGCGTTTTTTCGGGGCCTTTCCCCCATGCTGAGGGGTGTGATCTTGATGCCGTGGCCGAGTGCAATAAATCGTGTGTCCTGCGACGGACAGGCCATTTGCTTCTCACAGTTCACCCGGCCCTCGTGGGCGGCGGAGTTAAAGACGAGAACCAGCAGCTTGCCAAGACCCGTGTTGCGGCCCTTCTGTTAGACAGAGGCATCGACCTGAGCTCTGCTACGGTGGTTGTGGACAACCTTGTGACCAAGCTAGGCACGGTTGCCTGCCTCAAGGCCCTCTCTTCAAGTGACACTGCTGAGCAATGGAAGGCCCTGCAAGCTTCTGCTGCCACAGTCGGAGTGGCGGTGCCAGAGGGTGACAACCGTACCGAGCGAGCCGCCAAGAGGCTTCAGAAGGCTGTCCGCCGACGCAGGCTCGAGCGCCCCAGCGTTGTCAAAGCTGCTGATTTTCGTCTGGATACAGACACCTGGGTTGGCATGGACGAGCAGCCTGTCCCGATTTTGGACAGTGCCACACCAAATTGCACCGGGGTCCTCCTGTTGGATGCCGCAGAGGCGAGCAGCATTGACTTGGATCTCCTCCGCAACATTGAGTCCGAGGCACTCTGCGTAGTCATTCCAGGCCATGAATGTCCTGACCCGGACAGTTGCAGTGGTCGTGTAAGTGCTCATGTGACACACAAGGAGAGCGGACAGCATCACCTGATAGCGGCGTGCTTCCACAACTTGGGTGAAACGGATATCTCGCCTCATGTGCCGCACGGGTCGGAAGTGACTGTACAGGGCACCACCTGCTGCACCTTCTCCATGTACCAGGAGGACTTCACAGCAACGGCGTGGCAGGATGTCACGAAGGCGCCCGTCCGTGCAGCCAATGAGGCTTTCCAGGCAAAAGGGGTTCGCCAGGCTCTGAGTAGCCCATGGGGCCGCTCTTTCAAAGCAGGGGGCCGGCCGAGCCAACCGCACCTCTGTGACCAGTGCTCCTTCAATGCCAAGGTACCTGATCCTCTGTTGCGACTCCTTCTGCAGCAAAGTGGCTTCAACCATGTTTTCGTTGTGCCACGGACGTGGGACAGACAGCTGCTCCCGGGCTGGTCAGTTGTGTGGGTGCCGGGGCCCAGGCAGGATGTCGAGAAACAGGTTTCCTTGCTTGCAGAGCAGCACGGCCTGGTTCGTGCCCGCAATCGTTACGGGGTCCGCGTCCCCACAGCTGCGATAGGACCTACAAGCAACTTCGCCCAGGACAAGATGTCCCCATCACTGTTCAGGTGCGCCACATGTTCAAAGCCGGCCCTTTCCCCGCTACTGTTGCTTCTGCTGATGTCGCGAGTTGGGCCCGTCAGCTACCTTGGACAGTCCGTGTCATGAAAACCTTGGGGCCAGAGTTCTGGCTGCTGGGGGCGGCTAACTTCCCACCAGCGCATGCTGCCCATTTCAACCAGACCCCGATCTTGATCACCGAGGTTAAAGGGCGCACGATTCAGCAACCCGTCATTCAGGCGGGCGGGCCACTCCCCCGAGCTGGTCCCTCTACTGGTGTTTTGCTAAGTGACGGTGCCGACCCATGGCTGGAGAGTGATCCATGGAGTGCTTACCGCACTCGGCAAGAATCTGGTGCCCAAACCCGTGCGCCACGCTCATCAGTGGTCCCAACACCGGCCAATGACCAAATCGCCCAACGGGTCCACAGCACGGAAGCACGCCTTGCAGAGCTGGAACAGAATCTGCAGGAGCTGCGTGATGGGCAGACTGCTGCAGCCCAGGAGCGCCTACAAGATCGCCAACAGATTGCACACGACATTCAGGCTGTGAAGGCTGATATGCAGACTCTGGGTGCAGGCCTGCAGCAGCAATTCCAGGTCAACCTCGAAGGACTGAGACAGGCGCAGCAGCAACAAGAACAGCAGATGTCCGCTGGCATGGCCGAACTGAAGCATCTCATTCTTGCATGCAATGATTCCAACAAGCATCGCCGCACTGAGAATGAGCTGTGACATATACAGCGGCCCGAGGGCCAGGGGATGCGCGGTGCCCCTGCTGGACCTTTGTGCAGGCCGAGGCCCTTGCGTCCCAGGCCCTCATCCTCCGGGGCGAATGGTTTTCATTCACTTGTTCCGCCAACACCGGCACGCCGGGGAAGCCTTTGTGCTTGCATGCTTCTTGGCCCTCCTGCCATGACTTCATGTGATCATGTGTCCCGCAGGCCTTCTGTTCAGTTTGATTTTGGCTGTGGTCACCAGTGGCATTGCTTTGCTTGCAACTGGTCTCGCAGACCACGTCGGCAGCGGCGCAATGTCGCCCCAGCACACAGGCCTATCCGCGCACATCGCGGTTCAGGGCTCCTTTTCTATGAGTTGGTTCCACGAATTCGTTTTGCTCTCTGCCTCAAGGCGAGCCTTCGCCTGTCTCCCAGCCAAAGTTCAGCAGGTGTGCATAAACATGCACTTCTCTTTCCGCTTGTGCCGCCGGAGTGGTGGCAGGCCCGGCCGTCGAACTGGGATGTGTGCCTGTCCCTTGTGCAACCTTGGCTCCTCTTTTGGCCTTGCGCAGGCCCGCGCTGCCCGTCTTCCCCGCCCCAGGCCGATGCTCCATACCCGCCATACCAGGTTCTTCCAAGACTGCTCGGTTACAAGCCACTTGCCCCTTGCCCTCTGTCGCAGCATGTGCGCCAGTATGGTAGCACTGCAATGGACCACTTCACCCACAAGGGCTTCCAACAGCCGAAGCAGAATGCCACTAGCAGGCCTCTTCTTCCCGACCTTCGTGCGCTTGGTGAAAGTTTCCCATGGACCGTGTGGTCTTGTGAGCTTCATGCAGGCCTCCAGAAGGCCACTTGCAAGTCTGTTCGTCCCGACCTTCGTGCGCTTGCTGAAAGTTCCCCGGTGACCGTGTGGATTTTTGAGCTTGACACAGGCTTCCAGAAGGCAATTTGCGTGCCTTTCAATCACGACCTCCGTGCACTTGCTGAAAGTTCCCCGGTGACCGTGTGGTCTCTTGAGCCTGCAGAAGGCCTCCAGTCCACTTTCGTGCGTGTCTGTCACGACCTTCGGGCGCACACTGAAAGTTCCCCAGTGACCGTGTGGTTTCGCGAGCCTGGCGCAGGCCTCCAAAAGGCCATTTGTAAGCCTCTTTATCCCGACCGTCGTGCGCTTGCTGAAAGTTCCGCGGTGACCGTGTGGTTTTTTGAGCCTGAAGCAGGCCTCCAGACGGCCACTTGCAAGCCGGTTTGTCCTGACCTTCGTGCACTTGCTGAAAGTTCCCCGGTGACCGTGTGGCTTTGTGTCCCGGACTTGGGCCTGCAGAAGGCCACTTGCAAGCCTCTCTGCGCCGACCTTTGTGCGCTGGCTGCAAGTTCCCTGGTGGTGTGGTTTGGCGTGCCGGAAGTAGGCCTCCAGAAGGCCACTTGCAGGCCTCTTTGTCCTGACCTTGGTGAAAGTTCCCCCGTGACCGTGTGGTTCTTTGAGCTTGACACAGGCCTCCAGAAGGACACTTGCGTGCCTTTTGGTCACGACCTTCATGCGCGTGAAAGTTCCCCGGTGACCGCATGGTTTTGTGAGCCTGGCACAGGCCTCCGAAAGGCCATTTGCAAGCCTCTTCGTCCCGACCTTCGTGCGCTTGCTGAAAGTTCCCCGGTGACCGTGTGGATTCTTGAGCCTGCAGAAGGCTTCCAGACCGCTTGCATGTGTGCCTGTCATGACCTTCGGGCGCATGCTGAAAGTTCCCCA